TTTTAGATCTTGGGCTCCATATGAAAGTTGTAGGCCTATGTCTTACCTTTCCATCCATATAAATTGGACCTAAATCTGAGATATATAGCTCCAGATATGACCCATTTACCGAACAGTGTTCCGGTTTGGATTGCACCGACATCTCTTTTCTAAGTTTGGCCATCTCTTTATCCTTGCAATTTAAGTTCTTCAAGTCATCAATCAATCCTTTCATTTATGTGATAGGCCTGCATTAAAAATAGACATTTACCACAAATTATAGGTATCTTATATTATTAGATATATTATTATAAAATATGCTTTGGTTAAGGAGTTATTGATACTTCAAGTGCAAAATGATGATATAAAACCATGATAAAAATGCACTTTTAAGTACTAATCAAGAAGTTAATCACTGTATCTCCCTCAAGGAAGGAACCGAAACAATCAATGTTCGACCATACCATTATAATCATTGTATCTCCCTCAAGGAAGGAATCGAAACAATCAATGTTCGACCATACCATTATGCGTACTATCAAAAAGAGGAAATTGAGAAACAAGTCTATGATATGTTAAAATCCGGCCTCATTTGACTAAGTACAAGCCCTTTTTCATCACCGGTACTATTAGTGAAGAAAAAGGAAGGAACTTGGTGTTTTTGCATGAATTATCGTACACTCAATGCTACCAACGTGAAGGATCACTTTTCCATTCTCACGATTAATGATATGATAGACGAGGTTTATGGTGCTTCATATTTCACCAAGCTAGAGGTACGAGTTAATCCTCTAAATATTCTAAAAATTGTTTTCCATACTCATAACAAACAGTATGAATATTTGGTTATGCCATTTGATTTATGTAATGTACCCTCTACATTTCAAGCTATCATGAATCTATATTTCACCCTCATTTTAGAAAATTCATATTGGTTTTCTTCGATGACATATCAGTCTATAGTCCTACATGAGACAAACATTTGATGCATTTAAAACAAACTATGGTGATATTAAAGCAGTAACAATTCTTTGTCAAAGATAGCAAATATGTTTTTGGGCAACAAGAGTTGAAGTATCTAGGGCATATTATCACCAATCATGGAGTGAATGTAGAAAAAAAAATTACAGCAATGGTGCATGGCCACGATCCACAAATATTTCTAAACAACGTGGGTTTTTTAGGTTTAATAGGATATTACTAGAAGTTTGTAAAAAATTATAGCATTATGGCATATGCTCTTAATAATCTTCTTAAAAAGGGCCAATTTGGTAGGTATGAGAAAGTCAAAACTACTTTTCTTGCTCTCAATCAAGCATGACATTTACACTAACTCTAGTAATGCCCTACTTCAAAGACATCTTCACTATCAAAACTAATGCATCAGGTGAAGGAATTGGAACAATATTGACTCAGTAAGGCAAACCAATGGCATTTATGAATAAAGAGCCCTTGGGGTGGTAAAAAAGTCTAGGTCCGCTTACACCAAAGAGACGTTAGCCATCATCGAAGCCATATGCCTGTGGCGACCGTATCTCTAAGCTGAAAATTCTATATTTAGATAGATCAATAAAACCTAGAGTATTTGCTAGAGCAATATATCACCACGTTAGAATAGTAAAAATGGGTAGCAAAACTCTTAGGTTATGACTGCAAGATCACTTACAACCTTCAACTTTTTATTAAAAGATTTTTGAAGTATCTTTCACTCTTGATTAAACTATATACATTATATTGTATATTGTTTAATTTCTTCAAAATGTATTTTTTTACATGAAATCACTATAATTCCCTATGTCTAAAGCCACCTTAATAATAAAACTAAATTCATTATTTGACAACTTTAACATTTTTCCCGCAAGAACTTAACCAAGTTCAAGATGGGCATGTAAATCAATATTTTATGTTGTTATTATTTAAAGTTCAGTCCATTAAACTTTTAAAATTTTTCACTATACATCACAAAAGATGATGATGGAATTCTCACCACTGAAGTAATACTTATCGAAGCAATAGTGATAGGAAAAACTAATTCTTAAGTTAAAACATGATATAAATTATAAAAACAATAGCCAATAATATTTATAAATAAATATTTTAGCTCCACAATAACTGAGTAAAATAATATAAATTAAAATAAAGCAACTTGATAAATAAAAATATTTAAATTATACATGATAAAAAATAAATATTTTTTTATTTTAGTTCAGATTAAACATGTATTATGTCAAAATATTATGTTTAAACAAGAAAGATAAGATGCATGATTGTATCAACAATTTTACAATTAAAAAGATATAAACATGATTTATAAAAGCTCAGTTTATAAAATATATAACATGCAACAACTTCAAATAAATTGTATGAATTACAATTTTAAAAAATAAATTATATCTTTAAAAAAAGATATCATACTTAATATTTTAGGCTAGGCTACGCACCAGGCTCAAGCATCTATGAGCCTGGTAAAATGTTAAGCTTATCCATTGAGGCTCGGCAACACACCAGACCCAAATGCTTGTGGGTCTGAAAAAATGTCAAACCTGACCCCTTTGTTTTAATACATATTAGGCCTAAACACCTATGAGTTTGGTGAAATATCATACCTAACCCCCTTTGACTCGGATATGTACTAGACCCAAGATGCCAGAATCAAAGTCCTTTTCAGCCAAGGATTCCTCTGGATACGATTACCAAAGATGAGAATCTAGGGTCCTCATCTCTTTACATATTTGCTATGCAAAAATTCCTCTAAACGTCGTCCATATATCAATCAGTATTAATGTTGATTAAAGGGTAACCCCATCAATATTAATATTATGTACAGATTGATGTAGAATTGTCTTTTATAGGCACGTATTACACTCACCAACAATTAATACCATGTAAAGAGACACTTACAATCAATATTAATATTAATTGTAAAGGCATTCTCCCCACTTAGAAATGAAGAAGGAAAAAATCTGAGTAAAAAGAAAAAAGGAAATTCAAGGTTGTAAATACTCTCTGATGGATTCAGAAAAGAGGTTTGTCATCTTCATTCTTTTAGAATTTATTTTTAGCATTTGTCATGCATAAACTCAGAATATATTTTCTTGTTCTTAAAATTTAATGCTCATTTATTGTAACTTCTCATAATAAAGTTACTAATTTAATCATCAAAGCATCCCTAAAATCATCAAAAAGTGACTGTTTTACATGAAATCCCGCCCTTGTCACCAACCTTTGGAATCCCTAGTTATAAAATATAGAAGATAGACATGAACACGTGATCATTTATCATCCAAACATAGCAAAAGATAACCTTCCTAGCATGCTGGATTTTAGAGCATCATTACCCATTAAGGGTGATTATTTTCGGTTTGGTTCGGTTTTTATAAAAAAAAGTCATAAAAATTGGTTTTTTTGAAAAAACAAACTAAAACCTCTTCAAACAAACTGGTTTTGGTTCAGTTCGATTATTTTAAAAAAACCTGTGCAAACCAGTTTGTCTCGATTTTTTCTGATTTTGCTCTATTTTTTCCCATTTAGCTCGGTTTTTTATTTTTTTTGGTTTAGATTTGATTCAGTTTGGTTTTTTCAGTTTTAGGCTTATAAAACCGAAACTGACTGGTTTTTTTGTTCTTTGGTTTGGGTTTGATTTGATTTTTTTTTTGTTTTAACCTTATAAAACCGAACCGGTCTGTTTTTTTTTTTTAATTTTAATCGATTTAATTGATTTTTTTACGGTTCAATTTTTTTAATTATATATTTTAATTTTCTCAATTTAATCAGTCTTTTAGTTTTTTTTTCTCACCACCATCGCCCATAATTTATTTATTTAAAACAACTTTCCAACACCTTCATTGCAATCCCAGCCATAGTAAACATGAGTTATATTCCTCGTATAGAAGACGGCATGACCAAAACTGGCCTCAATATTTGCTGAGTGATATGACCGTGGACGTGTGAAGCTGCATCACCAGACCAATACATTGCATATATCTGTATGAATCTTTCATTTATATTTGTCGGTTCAATCGAGGAATTTGCATAGGAAGAAAAGCCTAAAAGAAAAGGAAAAAAATCAACGATCTATTTACTTGTTTACCAGGCCTCCGAGATGCCCTCCATCACTAATGGACAACGGCGGTGTAACGCAGGAGCCGATTGATTCTGTTCTTCACAGAGCAATCTCCGTTTGTAATGTTTTATGCAATGTCGAACAAAAAGGGGCTCGAAGCTGCTGCCATGGACTCCCCTTCCGTGTAGCGAGCATATTACCCACCACAGAATGCTACGAGCAAAACAACATTCAGCCATGGCGTCTAAGCCTATTGACTTTGGTACGTAGCTCCTTGTCAAGCCTTTGTGTATTGTTAATGCTTTTTCAAAATTAATTTTTAATTAAAATTAAGAAAAATGGTTTTCATAAGAAGTTTTAGCAAAGCAGCCCAAAAACAACATGCAAGCAAACATTCAGCCCAGCCCACTAAAACTTTCCCCTGTACTAATGGGCCTCTGTAGCCCATTTTCACACACTTTCCAAGAAGTAGCAGACACAGAAATAACTTCCCAATCCGAAACCGCCAGTCCAAAAAGAAGAACCTATCATTCAAAAGTCAAACGGTTCACCTCTACCACGTGTCCTTCTCCTATTGCCTCTTCCTTTCCCTTCTCCCTAAGCAACAAAAGGCCCAAACCCACCGTTACGACTGTTAGATGAGCACCACCTACCCCCTATTTTACCATTTATGGTCCTTAAAGTTTCGACTCCTGGCCACATTAAACCCTTTACTTTATAGAGGAACCTTCTCTATGACTTTCTAGAATCTAGGTGATTTCTTGTGGGAAAATAACCTCAAGAAGAGAGACAAATTGGACTAGATAATAAAAATTGACTCTTGAAGGATGATATATGTACCTTATCTCATAATCCACGCAATCCATTCGTATATTTATATCTATAATAAATAATGATAATAATAATAACAAAAACAAGTACGAATCTTTTTTCTATATAAAATCTCTCTTTCGGTAAGCGTTCGCCTTCATTCAACAATGTCTCTCAATCTCTCTCTCCTTGTCATTCTCTCTCTCCTCTTTATCTCCGCAGTTCAAGCGGACGCACTCAACGGTGATGATCCGTTGATCAGGGAAGTAGTGGACGGTCAGGATGCGTCATCATCAAACCTGTTAAGCGCAGAGCAGCATCACTTCTCGCTGTTCAAGAGTAAATTCAAGAAATCCTACGGCTCACAGGAAGAGCATGATTACCGGTTCTCGGTATTCAAGGCTAATCTGAGACGCGCGGCGCGTCATCAGGCATTGGACCCAACGGCAAGTCATGGAGTGACTCAGTTCTCCGATTTGACTCCGGCGGAGTTTAGAAAGCAGGTTTTAGGGTTGCGCAGGTTGAGGTTGCCTAAGGATGCGAATGAAGCTCCGATTCTACCTACTAGTGATTTGCCTGAGGATTTTGATTGGAGAGATAAAGGAGCTGTTGGTCCTGTTAAAAATCAGGTCTTTTTTTTTAATCTTGATTTTTTACTCTTTTTTTTGTGTTTTTAATTGTAATATGATGGGGTTTTTTTTCTTTTTCAAGGATGGTTTTTTTTTTTTTTTTTTGGGGGGGGGGGTGGTTAAGCGTTGACTTGTATTAAATTCGTGGATTTTTAGCTGTTATTATTTGGGGTTATCAAGGTTAATATTGATGGTGATGTTGATTTTGTTTTGTTGGGGTCAGGGTTCGTGCGGGTCGTGCTGGAGTTTTAGTGCCACAGGAGCTTTGGAAGGTGCCCACTTTCTTGCAACTGGAGAGCTTGTTAGCCTCAGTGAGCAGCAGCTTGTGGATTGCGATCATGAGGTGTGATTCTTTGCAACTAGTCTTTTAACTTTTTAATTATTTATGTTTCATGATGTTTTTTTTTAAGGGTTGAGCACATGAAGACTTTCGGTACTTGAAGCATGGTTCGTTGTTCTATAGTGATCTAAAATTAGAGTAAACATGCTAACTTTGATGATTGATGTTTATTCTTGGTGTTGATATCCATTTTTTATTGAAGGTTTTAGCAAGGAAGAATAAAAGTTTCTTTGCTATGTTATTGGAGTCACTGAACGTTGTTTGTTTTCAATCTTCAAAATCATCAAGTTTATAAATAAAAATATTGAATAAGTATCTATCTGGCAAGGGTTGTTGGTTATCTTTCGTTCAAGATATATTGATTTTCAGTCGGTGTTCTGGAACGTTGTTTATGAATGGCGGCATTCTTTTCATGTCGGAGAGTTCATTCAATTAATTAGACTTACAGATTCAATGTTCTCTAAAACCTTGCAGTTTCCTGTTGATGGTTCAACGCATGCAGTAACTGCATAATATGTTGACATATTGCCTGGAATTAATTTCATTTTGATGAGAAATAAAGAAGTGAAAACAATTCATTGGATCACATGTTTTTTTCAGTAATGTGGTTAATAGATTATCTGTTTTGTGCTCTCTAAATTCAGCTCATTTCTACATGCAGTGTGATCCTGAAGAACCAGATTCATGTGACTCTGGATGCAATGGTGGGTTGATGAATAGCGCCTTTGAGTACACTTTCAAAGCTGGTGGTCTTATGCGTGAGGAAGACTATCCTTACACTGGTACTGATCGTGGTACTTGCAAATTTGACAAGAACAAGGTTGCAGCAAGAGTGGCCAACTTTAGTGTTGTTTCCCTTGATGAAGATCAAATTGCTGCAAATCTTGTGAAAAACGGACCTCTTGCAGGTAAATGAACTTGAGTTTTATTGGTTGAGTGATTATATCTCTTTTGACGCCCACAATTGTAGTGTTTAGTTGTGTATAACTCCTTGCTTTGCTCTAATACAGTGGCCATCAATGCTGTGTTCATGCAAACATACATTGGAGGAGTGTCATGCCCATATATCTGCTCAAGGAGGCTGGATCATGGAGTGTTGCTGGTGGGATATGGTTCAGCTGGCTATTCTCCTATCAGGATGAAGGATAAGCCATACTGGATCATCAAGAACTCCTGGGGAGAAAAGTGGGGAGAGAATGGATTCTACAAGATTTGCAGAGGTCGCAATGTTTGTGGAGTAGACTCCATGGTCTCAACTGTTGCTGCTGTGCAGACCACCTCCCAGTAGGATGCGAATCCTAATATGATTTACTTATCATTGTAAATAAGGTTACAATTAAGTCATACATATCTGCCTACCATTTTCAATCAAATCATAGGATAGTGGAATTTCTTCGAAATTTCCCATGCCTTGGGTCTGCAAAAGCAGCTGTACTATGTCGTTTGTCTTTCTAGTGCAATCAACCCTTTGAAGACTTGCAATGCTTGTCTTTTTTCATCTATGTTGCTGTGGCAACATGCGATATCATGTCACCGTAGTGCTTAAGAAAAGATTGAACGGTTTGTACAACGCGGCATGTGGACCGATCTGCATGCTGCGTTATGGAATCAGTTCAGTCGATAAACCCTATATTAGAAGACAGCAGATCGGTATTCAATCATTGGTTGATAATGCAGGAATCATAGCCGACAGTGACTATATAATTAGTATTCATCGGATTCGTGCGGTCGACATACCTAAGAACGCTTCTAATCATGCTAATGAACACGACATGAGGGAAACTTGATTTCTGCAGATGCCATCAACTCTCCGAAGCAGCCTCGGACACCGCAACACAAGCAAACTAATGACCGGTGACACCAGAAAATCAAGACTTCTTGTCATGAGCAATAAATAACCACAATCGATCTGCTCTTAAAACCTTAGGTCTAGTTTGGTTCCGTTGTTAAAATAATCGGGCATTATGAGATTGTTGTCAAGCCCTTCAGTAAAATGTCAAATGAGAACAAATAAATAAAAAGTGGCTGTAAAATCCAGACGTTACATTAAATACAAGCGGATAAAGTCTTGTTTTCCGCACACAACTATAGATCCTAGCTTTCCACATATTAACAACAAAAAAAGTTTAAATAAATCAAAAAAAACTTATTATTACACTTGGCCATAGCTGCCCATCACATACAGAAGACCACTTCCCCTCTAGGAAGCTGCCTCGTCCTTTAAATAACAAATAAAGGATTGGACAAGATAAGCAAAGGTCCGAAAACAGAAGCTTCCTCAAACTCCCTGCAAGATACATACATACCAATCACGTCTCATCATGTTCCCAATGAAAAACAAGCAAACAAATCCATGCCCATACACAATGACTTCCGTTTTTGGCAGCAGCTATGATTGTAAATCGGTGTGTCATTCTACCTCATCATTTACTGATGCAAATGAAAAGGGATAAAACTTGTAACCATCTCCCTCGTAGAATTTATTTTGGAATTCCACCCAGTGAAGACGCAAGGCATGTAAGAAGGCACTCAGAGTTTCCATCACCAGCAATACACCAACAGTTACGAAAATAAAGACGATAGCACCAACAGCAAGGATGATAATATTGTTGTACCTGTGGCCCATGTAAAACACAATATTAGCTAGAATCCAGATTTGAGTATAATTGGTGCGTGCATCCACACAACATCACAAGAAGCGTTAACATACCCCCACGCAAGGAGAAGGACCTTCTCGTAGAATACACTAGACAACTCCGAGTGCGCAAGACTGTAAAAGAAGAGGCAACATAAAGCGTACAATTAGCTCCCATCAAGGGGATCAAATAACCATCAAACAGAAAGATGAATTTTTTGGAAATATAGAGAAATGACTACAACTACGTGGGACCATATCCAGGGGTGGAATTCAACATCATAGAAGGACAAGAGAGGATGTTTCCATCTATGCATCTTTTATCAAAAGAATACATAGATCACTCATCAAGAAAAATCATGCAACATAATCTAAAATTTTTAACTCTACCAGTTACATGCAGGATTGAAAACTAAATTTGAACTCAAATGCTGCTTGACTTCATTTTCAAATGACAAACCTGAGGGCCCATAATCGAAGATACGAAGCTGTGTTTGAGACTGCTCCCAGTACAAACTCAATGGTATGTATCATCTGATGTACAAAAACTTCACTGAATTCAAATTCCTCATGACCATGTGAATCATGGTTCGCCTCCAATTGAAGAGACTCCTCAGTGCTCTGAAGTGGCATGTATGATTCACCTTGCATCTGGGAAAAACATTACAATCAGAACTGATAAAGAGAGAGAACAAATTATAATGCTCTTGTTTATGGTCTGCATGCTACATACATAGACACATGTATATATACTTTAAATCATGTTGTGAAACTTGGTGGTTGAGAACTATATCATACAGCTTGGTGTTGCATCTTTAAAAGGAAAGGCTTTGGGAGTAGCATCCATGGTACCGAAACAAGGGCCAATAGCAATAGCACAAGCTGAAAACAGAATATACAAGATGAATTAGTAGGATGCCCGCATCTCATATACATGAAAGATAAAGTGAAAAGCAGCAGAAAATGGAGTCCACCTGTACAGTTTTTTGCCGAGGAAAAAGCTGATTTTCTCCCAACTCGTCTGTTGGACTCAGGAACATGTATATCATCACATGGTATAAGTCAGCTTGAGAACCAGTGCACCACTTCAGAATGATAAGGAGTGACAAATAGCCAAACAAGCTGTTTAAAAATATAATTTGGGGGATAAATTGGAACCTGGAAAATGCATGACAATGGCCAGCTTTAGAGAACATAGCATTTTTAAAACTCCAGTCGGGGAAAAAAATAAAAAAATGAAAGATGCTGAAGCAGCCAGCAACTGAGTTTTTCAAAGCTTACCAGACATTCAGGCTGTTTCTAAAGTATGCTGCATTGAAATAACTCAATATGATTCCAAGGTTCATTTGAGCAACCCCAAGAAGGATTGACATTTTCATCTTCAGAGAGTTGAGAAAAGGCAGCTCACTGCGGCTGCCATGCCATACAGGATCTACACCAAATGGGTAAGTGGGGCGCGCTTTTATCAAACCAACTGTGGTAGCATCCCTGAAAAACAGGAGTGCATGGGACTGTGATGTGAAAATTGAAAGAGCACAGTAAATGAAGATTTTATAGCTGGTAAGTTTAAATCAAATACCTGCAAGAGAGATCGCGGCATGCATATGCTGATGGAGCAAATAGTTCAAAGGGGACCGAGAAGAATTCGTTATATATAATACCAGTGTAAATTGAAAAGAGTGCCATCATCAGGATAACATAACGACCACCAAAGGTCATTTCAGTGATATCTCCAAGTTTCTGATGAGCAAAACATGTACAATTTTTTAAGATGCTAACCACCAGGATGCATATAATATAGGAAAAAATAAGGCATGCAAAAAATGACAATCTTTTAGAACAAGCCTAATCTTTTCCTGAGATAAGCCAATCCTGATAGTAAGAGAAGTCAACATTCAATACAGAACAATACAATAGTCAAGCTAGACATCAAAGTATAAAATGTCCTATCAACCATCAAAATTACCGAGAGATTACCTGGCCAGAAAGTTTCTTTTCCCTGATTATGAAGACTAATGCTGCGAGCAACAAACAAATTCCATGCCCCCAATCACCAAACATGACAGCAAAAAGAAAAGGGAATGTAACAATAGTGTACACGCCTGGATTTGCTTCTTGATACTTAGCCACCCTGCAATCATGTAAAACAAAATCATCTTATTTGAATTTACTAATTTCAACAGAACAAAAACAGGCAAAACTGGCATATGAATGTTTGGCGCTCACACCTGTGAGTTCACACATCATGTGTGACACATGCAAGTAAATGCTACATTCAACAGCAAACTAAACAATATTTTGTACAGAAAATAGGGAGGCATGTTCCTAAACAATCTAGCCTAGTCTAATTGTATGTAAAACTGAACCCATTCCATGCATTTGGATTGTGCAGCATGCAGCTGTTTAGATCATCTTACATGATGTAGCACAAACAATATGGATGTGTTGCCAATTTAAATGCTAGTAAACAGAGCTGATATGTGCATTACTCCTACCTAGGTTGTTTTGATCTATTTCAGGTTTCTAAAACCTAAATTTCATGACATTTGATTGCTCTCAATCAGTTCTTTCTAATCCATTCTTTATAGTTAGGAAGATGCAGCTAAATGTCATCATTGGAAAATAAATTTAAGGGAAAGGAAAAAACAAATCAAAACCGATTAGGTACTTCATAGGTAACAATGTTGGTGGTGATCTAGCATATTAATCAAGAAAGCAACATCATTTAGAATGGCCTTAAGAGTGAAACTCACCCATACGCATCAACAATATCTTGAAAAGCAGAAGTAAACTTGTTTGTGTGGAAGTATGTAGGTGGTGACTCTGATGTATGTAGAACCTGGAAAATTGTTCCAACTTGTGAGTTGGAATCAAATGCAGCTCTCTGCAGTGCATCCTGGATCTGCAGACATCAAGTTCAAACTTATTTTTTGTGCAATCCAATTCGAAAGGTTTCATGGTCCGTATCAGTTCAGAAATGCGATTCAAGATTTCCCAAAACAATGCCCATTAAAAATTAGTGTCAGGATTTACCAGATTTGTAGCAAAAACAGGACTCCACCCCTCAGCAACAAGACACTTCTTGGTCACATCCAGGCTGAGCATGTTCATTGTGTGGTAGATGGATTTCTCCTTCCTCGTCTTCATGAGTTCGACAAGATTGTTAGTGGCTGAACATGATCTAAAGAGTGAAATATCATAAATGTACAACAAAATTGAGTAAATACAACTATGAACAGACCAAAGTGTTCCACTGCACAAATTGATCACCAATAGTCTTCAACAATTTACTCTTCTGAAGCAATCCTGCATCTATAGCAGTTCTCAGCTCAGCAAGTCTTCCTGAAACCTGCAATATGAAGTGAGTGGACATATCATAATCAATCAGAAAAAGGTAAAAGGTTAATAGTAAATGCATAAAGCAGTTGAGTATGTCTGATAATAACAATCTAGATATATGGACAATGGAAGTTTAAGATGCATGGAGAAAAATGACAATGTCAATACATGTAAAGAAGCAAGCAGCAGTGTGACAAGACTTGGAAAGAGCAAAAATTGCAATTGTCATTAATGAGATCGAAACATCAACAAAGGTATAGCACGTACTTCAGAGATCATTTGAACTTGTTTTCCAAAATCCTCAGTGAAAGAGTAACGATTCGCACCAAATGCTTCACAAATTTTTAGTATTTTGGTCTTTGCTCTTTCTCCCGAATAAAAGACAGCAAATACATTCTTCTCAACCTGTCAACATTCACAAATCAGAAACTTAATGTGGCAAACAAAAATAGGTGACAATCAAATTCATTTTCTCCAAGAAATACAGAATTCATCCACTAAACAATAAATAAAGAAAGGAACCAGTGACTTAAAATAAATCACACAGCCCTCATATTTTAACTAGAAACCTAACAAAACATTCACTGCTGGATTCAAATTTCAAACAAACAAGTGAATCATATACTAAAACTCAGGCAATTTGCATGGAAAAAACAGTATATGATTTGATTTGATTTGGATACTTGAAACAATTTACAGGAAGAAACATTATGTCATCAAAAAGCCAAAGCCATTCAGTGAGCCACTTTTACAGCAGCCTTCATGCAATTAGGACTGTATAAGTGTATCTAATGCATCAATGAGTGCAGCAGACAAACTTCTGATATATCATATGCGACTGACTAGTATAAGTTAGCATGGGCATGAGCAGTGCAAGGGACATGTACAAATGGGATACAGCAGTAGGGTAAAATTTCATTAATAGAGTAAAATTGAGAATTACAACTGTGCTAGACTAATAGAGATGAAATGATGACATGATGCACAATTACAGTTCATTATTGTTTCTGTGTCATAGATACATGAATGTTTATAAGGAACAACAAGAATAAAATGTTCAGCAGAAATGCAACCAAAATCAACCTTCTCTCCAGAAACAGGATCAATGACAGGTTCCTCTACGGCAGCCTGCCTGGTATACACATTACCCCGGGTAGCACGAAATATAATTCTTTCAAATAGCATAGACTTTTCTTTGGAAACAAGGCCAGTAATAAACCCCAACTTTACTTGTTTTGATGACTCAATTGATATTTCCTACAGAATAGCCAATCAACTATTATTGTTACAAATATAAATATGAGGATCAAGTAACACTGCTACACTAGAAATAGGATAAAGAGGCATTGATAAACTAACAAGTAATTGAAACTCATACTCTGTCCTCTAATAGAGGAGTATCTAGTGATTCTTCGCCAGTTTGCTGGGATTCTATTTCATTTTGCTGAGCAGTTGCACTGCTAAAGGCAGAAGAGAAAAACCCACCAGCCTACCAAGAAAAAGAACATCATTGTCTTGATTATTACCCAGCATTACTGTAACATTTGCTGATATGCAAACAAAAATCTAATACATAAATGAAGTTCTGATGAGAAAAGGCACCAAAGTAGGGCTAGCATGATTATGAACCAAATTATGTAATGACAGAATATGAAGTCCTGAAAACATTAAAAAAAAAAGAGTTGAAAAATGGATGCCTGTTACATAAATTTGCGAGACTTGATAAAGAAAAGTGACTGTTGATAGCATTTTGACTCCACTCTATAACACTAGATTATCACACATCACAGGAACTACAAGACTTGGTTTTACAGCACAATTGAGTTTCTCAATCATTGCAAACAAGGCTGGTCAATTAATGAAATCCAAGACATGCACCATTATCTGTCAATCAAGGTTGCTTAAGAATGCAACTTGAACAAGAGGCTCAAAAATATAAACACTAGACACCATACAAGAAAAAATCATTTGGTGAATTCCTTTATCTACTGATATCCATTACGTCAGTTAAATGATTTCTATGTGTGCTACAGGAAATGTGTTCTTTCCCCTCTTCCAAGTTTAGTTTACAATTTACCTTAAAATAAACCAGTCACAGCATGTCTACTTAAAATTATCAGAAGTGCCAGCTTCTCCATGGTGTGTCTACAAGTGCTAATAGCAGAATGATTACCAATGGGTCACAAAACAAAAAATAGCCATACCTTGTTGAGGACAAGCTTATATTCCACAAGCTCATTATAAGAGCGCAGTAATTTTTCATTATTTGTGTTCATTTCAACCAGCTCTGCCTCAAATTCCCCAAGTTTTACCTATGACAACCAAAAAAAAGCAAAATAGTAAGGGCATGGCCCATCTAAAACATTTCTAGCAGCACATTCAACTTTGTAGCATACCTCTAGGTCATCCACATCAATCTCAGTTTGTGTCATAGGTTTAGTTGAAGGTGTAACACCTGCCTTCTCCATTTGTTCCATGAAAAACCGTAGCTTTCGAGCCATCTCTCCAAATTTTTTGATCTTACAAGAAGGGGGAAAAATCAACATTTCCACCACTAAAATCTCACTCCATTACCAACTATAAAAAGGCATCATAAACAGATATCTAAGGTAAACTTTAGTCTGAGAAAAAATCTACACTAGAAAATGCTATCAGATACTAAATCATGAGATACTCCCAATCCATGAAAATAGTAGTGATTAAGAGTACCATATGCATTTAAAATTCTTCTCGAACTCAAAATAGGTAAGAGCTCGAAATGGACTCGGAACATAATCGCACCTGAGCAGCATAAGTTCTCTGAAACGGACTCTTATCTGCATTGAGCTGCAAACAGGAAATAAATAAAAACACAATGAAAGCTCATCAATCGCATCACGTTCTTTCACTACCAATCCCGAGAGAAACAATATTTTGCCCACAAAAACAAAAACCCTAACAACAAAAAAAAACGGAGTTGCAGTCTCTATTGAAGTCCCTTTTATTCTCCATGTAGCCATCAGATTTCACAAAATCACATTTCGAATTTCGATTTAATTATAATTTAATTACAAATAAGAAAGATTACCAGCAGCACGGAAAATAATAGTAAATAAATAAGAAATCCAATTCGATAAATGAACAATCAATTCAGCATCAATTAGAAGAAGATAAGGAGAGATGGATACAGAAAATGAGAGAGAGGAATGTGTACGGACATCTTTGAATTGGAGGAGACCGAGGTCTCCGATGTAAGAGACAGTGTGGTGAGCAGATTCGATAGGGATGATAAGCTGCACCAATTGCATCGCTTCTGACCTGAACAGATCCATCGGCGGACAGCATCCTCCTCCTGCTACTCTTGCCTCCGCCATTTCCTTTCCCTTCCTCTCCTATCCTGGATTCGATTTGTCTCTCTGTATCTCGCAAGTCACAGAGATTGATTGAGATTTTTTATGAATTTATTTACTGGGTTACTGATTCAATCAGGTGAAATTGTTTTCTTTTTAGGAGACGTGAGAGAACAGAGGGAGGAGATGTCGTTTTTCTTCAATTTTCTTTTAAGCGAACTACCACGTCACCTTGCTTACAAGATTTGGTTGTTTTACAGTTATATCCTTAGATTTTTTTCTGTTTTTTTATTGGATTATATATTTCACTTGGTAGAAAAAAAAAAGAAAAAAAAATAAATGAATTCTATTTTAGGACGTTGCCTTTCAGTTTTGTCTTAAACCTGTTTATTTATTGAAAAATAATTTTAAAAAAAATTAAATTTTAAAAAAATAAATTTTAAAAAAGTAAATTATTTTTTAATACTTGGTAATGTATTAAAAAATAAATTAAAAAATACTTTTTAGTATTTGGTTATATCATAAAAAATAAGCTAGAAAATAACTTATTAATATTTTATTGTTCTCAAGTTTATTAAAATAATAAAAAACAAATTTTACAAATTAAAAAATTGAGTGAGAATGAAATTAAAAAAATTCATAAATTATCTCAAATAAAATAAATAATAATCAAAATAATAGAGATCAAATTTAAAAAAAAATAAAAGATGAAGAAATTAAAATAATAATATTAACATTTCATAAATTATTTCAAATAAAATAAATAACAATCAAAAGAATGAGGATCAAATTGATAGATAAAAAATTTTAATAAAAAAATAATAAGGAAAAGAAAATAATAATTTTAAAAATGAGGACCAAAGTTAATATAAAAATTAAATTTTAAGAGATAAAATTGAATAATAAATATTCAAAACAATATGTGTGTGTGTGTAGTAATTAAAAGTTTGAGGGTCAAATTTGATATAACCAACAAAGAATATGACATTTTTAAATTTTTCACAACTTTCGGAAAGTGTTTTCCGTTCAAATTTTTTAGGAAAACACTTTTCTGGAAACCAAATCAAATTCTTTTGACTGGAAAGTGTTTTCCGTTGACCAATTTTTCTAATGGCAAACAAATACAAAAAAGTTTGAAAAGTGGTTTTTCAAAACCACTTTCCAAAAAACAAACATGATCTTAGATAAATAACGAAAACAAACATTACATTCCATAAATAATAATAATAATCCCCAATATATATGGATTCCAAATTAATCATTTTAAATAAGATTAATTATGATAATATTAGCAAATAAAAATATCTTAATGTCATGAAAATACATAATAATAATCTTTTATTTTATAACACTAATCATTCATTTTATTTTATGAGTAAAATAGCCTAATTATACAGGTGTGAAATATATTTTGCTCTAATCTTTGATGAATGGCAAATACAATAATGCTAAATTAAATTGAAGACCAGTAAATACCATATATATATATATATAACTTCATAAAACTAGAGTAAATTTGTATAATTTTTTTTTTAATATGAGAGAGGATAAAGTTATTATCTTCAGTAATGAATGTATATAATGGTACTTAAAAGAATGATTAAGAGAGTCTTAAATAATTATTATCAATTAAAAAATAATAGAGTTGAGCTTGGAAAGCGTAAAATGGTAAAACTAACTAAAATATTTAGTCTTGATTTTTAATATACTTTTTAAAAAATAAAGCTCGAATATACTCCAAGCCAATGTTATATACAGAAGCTTTTTATTGCAGAAAGGCGGTCGATAATGAAATTGAATTTATTATGAATAATCATACATGAGAACTAGTGGATCTTTATCTTGAAAATAAATAATTAGGTTATAAGTAAATCTTTAAAAGAAAGATGAAAGTTGATGGCACTTGATTAATACTTAAAAATGCATTTTTATCAAGACTTTATATCATCATGTTGCACTTGAAGTATCAATAACTCTTTAACTAAAGTATGTTTTCTAATAACATATCTAATAATATAAGATACTTTTAATTTGTAGTAAATATTCATTTTAAATGCAAGCCTATCACATAAATGAAAGGATTGTTGATGAGTTTAAGAACTAAAATTGAAATGACAAAGAGATGGTCAAACTTAGAAAAGAGATGCTGGTGCAGTCCAAACTGGAACATTGTTTGATAATTGGGTCATATCTGGAGCTATAGATCTCGGATTTAGGTCTACTTTATATGAATGAAAAGACAAGATAAGATAAGAATTGTCATCAAGTCAAGAGTTGGTCACGCACTCATCAATTGGTCATCAAATTAATAGTTCCCAATTTTGGCCTATAAAAGGAGATATTTGCCATGCATTTAGGCATCTTTGTCTCCAGATCAAGATCATATTTTTGCTTCTCTCTTTGTATTTTTGTAATGATTAAGTTTTGCTTTTATTAATTTTAAATCTATACCTTTCATTTCCTTTCCTTTACTTCACTATTTGGTATAACCGACACCTGTACTATAAAATGAACTTGATTTGTTGTTAACATAAGTTATAAACATAAATGTCTGACAACATTTACAAGTATTAACATTATTCAAATAAAATAATTAATGTAATCATGTTAACAATTTACAACTTGATTGAAACCTCCTTTGTGTGTGATTTTCAATTCAATAATAAGAGTTTATACTATACTTGTTTGACATACCATTAACTATTAGTGAATCCTCTAACCTTGATATTTGTTGTTATTATTGTTTAATCCTTACATTGATCTTCTATCTCAAAGTTCTCATCAACTTCTTTATTAGTATTAGTATTAGTATTATTGTTGTTGTTGTTGTTGTTGTTTATAATTTATACAATTAACCTCCATGTGATTTGACTTAGTCTTACCGAGTTACTTATAACTTCAACACTCCTGCACTTAGAAAAAGACATCAATCTTTTAGTTGTGTCAACACTATTGGTAGATATAAAACTATACTTGTTGTTAAAGGTTTTAAATAATAAAAAGTTATGGATGATTTTGACATATATTTACTCATGTTAAAAATAACTTTCATTCGAATATTAATAGTCATTGTAATTAATATTAAGCTTGAAATATATCAAATGGATATAAAAACAACTTTCTTAAAATGATGATCTTTATAAAGAGGTTTACATGGAACAACCTGGAGGATTTATTGTCAATAGACAAGAAAAAAAAGTTTATAAACTTGTCAAATCATTACATAATTTGAAACAAACACCTAAACAATGACATAAAAAATTTAATAAGGTTATGTTATTAAATAAATTTAAAATGAACAAAGTTGATATATGTGTTTATGTTAGAAACACGAATAAAGATTATATCATTGGATATCTCTATGGAAAATATGCTTATTTTAGATAGTAATAATCAAATATATTAAGAAAATATTAATTAGATAAGTTTAACATGAAAGACTTGGGTGTTGTATATTTCATAATAAAAATAAATATTACCAGGACATTTGATAAATTGGTATTGTCTCAATTTTATTATGTTGAGAAAGTTCTTGAAAAATGTTTTAAGGGTAATAATAGCATTGTAAAAATAATTATGGACATAAGTGTTTATCTATTCAGAAATAAAGGCAAGATAATAACAAGCCAGTTAGAATATTTTCGGATAATTAAGAGCTTGATATACATTATAAATTGCACAAAACCTTATATTGTTTACTTAGCATACTAGGTAGATTTTTAAGTAATCCAACTATAGATTATTAGAAAGTAATACAAAAGGTTTTCAAATATTTGAGGTATACCGTTTACTATAGAATACACTATATTGGTTATCTAGCAATACTATAAGGATATAATAATGCTAATTAGATATCCAATACTAAGGATTTAAAATCTAGAAATGAATATATCTTTCCACTCGGTGGATTAAATGTGTCATAGAAATGCTCCAAACAAGTATTTATCATTATATTCATAATAGAATCAAAGTTTATTACTCTTGATAAAACTATAAAAAATGCCAGATGAATTTGTAATTTCTTAAAGGATATTTCATGTTGGTCAAAGACCAGTGCTAGTTATTTATATTCATTGCCACTGTCAGTCAACAATTAGAAAGGTTTAAAGTAATATGTATAATGATAAGTTTAAATATACAAGTCAATACATAATATCATTAAGTACTTGCTCTTAAATGAAATTATTTTCATTAACTTTGTAAAGTCAAAGAAAAATATTGTGGATTTACTACCTAAAAGTTTGTTAAGAGAGCTTGTGTATAAATTCATCAAGGGAAATGAAGTTAAAGCTTTTAAAAGATAAAAGAGTGTAATGATGATAACCATACCTAGTTAATTGGAAACCCCAAAATCCATAGTTTTAAAATTCAGCTCGACTCAGTGAGTCAACCTAGTTGACTCGGCAAGACCTGATCAAAAACTCGGTTGCAACCTATTAACTAATTTTTTATTTTTTACCAAAACAACATTGCTTTGATTTGTTAAAAAAAATAAAATAAGGTTGATCTAAGTGACTCGATCAAAAACCCATGACCCTGGCTTTAAGTTGGGTCGATCACCGGGTCAGGTTTAAAAACACTGTTAAGATCTAGATTCAAATAAAAAACTAAGTCATATAACATTCTCAGTAGCACTAGAAAATATTATTCCATGTTCATTCCTATAATAAAATAAGTGATAGTTGTAGTGTGATAAAAAGTGAGTCGAGCTCTTAATTATTTTCTTATCTTGGTATACCAAATGAAGTATAATATAATACTTTTAATGAAAGATTACTTGTATGAGTAAGAAATATGATTATTTTTCAATGAATTTTAATAAAGATTGAATGCACTCATGAATCTAAGAGTTTTTTAAGGCAAAAATTAGCACAACAGCAAGAACCAAATGAAATATCTATGTAAAGAACTATATTTGTACTATTGTCTTGGTTTACATAAGATATTAAATAGTTCAAGACATCACATTCATTATTTAGTCGAGTAAATCCATTAGTATTTCATTAAAAAAGGTTCAAAGACAAAAGCTACCTATCATGATATAGTAATCTACCAAATCAATATCTCTCAATAAATCTTTGAGTCTTTTTCAAACTAATGAGATGATTTCCATTCATCAAGGGGATTGTTGAAATTTTGTTTTAATTAAATAAATTATGGGTGAATAAGAAACTAATCTTGAAGAACCTTTAGTTTTCTTACATAAAATCCTTGGTTTTTCTAGATTTAATTCTTGAATTATGATGGCCAATTAGAGATTAATGATAGTGGGGATTAATTCTTCAACCTTTTAGCTTTCAAAATTTACTATAAAAGTGAGAGGTGAAGAAAGGGTTTAATTCGAGAATTTTACATATTAATTTTTTCACTCTTTCTCACCTCATTTTTACTCTTTTTATTCCTTTTTATATTTTGATTTTCCTCTTAGATCTAAAGCTTATGTTCATCTTGATTAGAAATATTTGAGTTACATAATTTTTTATTCAAAGACCTTATTTAGAATTGCTTCTAAACAAAGGTTGTGGTGTTGGAATCTTAGAAAACATATTGCAAACATCCTTATTGTACAAGTTATGAGCAATAAAACCCTAAAGTTAAAAAATTCATCATTGACAACAACAAAATTAAGATTCATTACTTTAAAATGTTTCAGTAAGTAAGTATATTTTTTGTTTTAATTTAAGCATTTGTCTTAAGTTTATAAATTTAAACATGTATAATCTTTTCTTTCTTGTTTAACATGCCTTTATGATAAACTATCAATCCATACTAGTTATTTTTAAATTACAATTATATTACATAAACTAAACATATTTATACACTACTCTATTTATATTTATAAACTTTGGTTTATAGAAACGTGGTGGCGCATGCCGTAAAGGTGTGGTTAGGGTTGATTCTGAAGTGGCAAAGCGTGATTGGTTGGTTGAAGGAGTAATTGTAAAGGAGCGGTATGGTGTATCAGCATCTGCACCGAGTTCACGTGGCCAGAGAACAATATGTATTGCTGATTGGGTTGGACGCGAGTTCATCAAGTGATGATGGGTCGCCTGGAGAGGAGTCAGAAGCCATTAATGCGGAGCTAGAGACTATTTAGGCATGGAGGGAAAACACGAGAATTTCTTCTAGGTTGATTTCATAAGAAATGGAGGTGATTTTCACACCAGATTATCTTAGGCTTGATGGGTTTGTTTCTGGTCTTATTAACAAAGTCTTAGGCTGCTATTGTTATTCACCAATTTTATATTTGCTTGAAATGATAATCGTAGAAAGGTAACAAATTAAACTGTGTTTTGTATTGCAAGACCCACTAAAAAATTAAATTTGAAACATAATTTTTATGAATAGTTTTTACATGTTTTTTTAATTAAATTTCATAAAATTCTATTTATTTTTGCATTTCAAGAACATATTTAAAAAAAATTTGAATTTTATTTTATTGTTTTCAAATTTCATAAAACCCTATTTATTTTTGCATTTTAAAAGCATATTTGAAAAAAATTTGAATTTTATTTTATTGTTTTCTTTACTTTAAATTGATATATTTTTTATATTTTTAAATCATTTCAATGCACTAATATTAAAAATAATTTTTAAAAATCATTTCAATGCACTAATATCAAAAATAATTTTTAAAAAATAAATAATATTATTTTAATACATTTTCAAATAAAAAGTATTTTGAATGGTAAGCGCAATGATATTTTTATCAAATATTTTATACATGTTTTTTTGCTATATATAAACTTCAACTATAATTTTTATCAAACATATATTTAAATTCAACTAACCATAATTAACTATATTCTTTTAAAATTTATTTTTAAAAAAATTACAATCATAAAAATTATCTAAAAAACACAGTTAAAATGAGAGGCCCAATGGATAGGCTATGACTTCTGAATCCCAGGCTCTTGCTTTTATAACCACAAAACCCACAGCATGGTCGAAGCTGCTCATCAGACGTGTGTGTGTGTGTGTGGGTGTGTGTGAAGCGAGAAAACAAACCAAAACACAGAATGATTGATTAATTTCATCAATGAAAGAGCCATATTCAGCAATGATTTTCTGGTTCTAATATACATGGATCACATAAGCTTAATTTGCAGGAGGATTCGGTCACATAATTGGATATAATTAAGAGACAATCAGAGTATTAATCTGCACCCAAGAAAGGAGTAAACTAGGACAAGAAGTTATAGATGCCCAGATGATGTCGTTGGTACATAAACTAATTAGCAGATTAATTAATCTCTATATATACTAGATTAAACACACGATACAGAACTGAAGATTGCCTGCCATGAAATGTACACATTACTATGAGTTACATTCAAATTTACATCCAGATACATATCGGCAAGCCATCTTTACCATGGCCGGTAAGAACCTGAATGATCTTCGAAGTACAAGAACCAGAAAAATAATAATACATAAATTACAATACAGTTTAATCTGTTAATTTCAATCGTGTTTTTTTTTTTTTTACAAGTTTTGCAAGCATTCTAGTTATTCAGTGATCCTGCAACTTCATCCGCCAAGAAAGATTGAAATCTACCGCTTACGTGTCTTGTCTGTTATGCCATGGCTGCAATAATACATGTAGCTACGTAGAAATAATAGAAAAACACCATCTTTTCATGCGGGAGACATTTTGGCTCTCCATTTAATATATAAGCACACCAGCTAACTGTTCGGGTATAGTACTAAAAGTATTTTTTATATATATAGTACTAAAAGTTGCTGTATAGGGTAATAAAATACTGACATTGAGTGAAGGATTGAGTTCTAAACTAATATATATATATATATTGAATTTGATAAGCATAGGCATAGGATAGCACCCGTTAATTTATGCAGCTTAGGAACATATAGGCATTTAATAGCCCGGAATGAGCATCTAGACTTTTATCCAAAAAAATAATCACATATAGTTGGATTCATATATCTAAATTTTTTTTTAAAAAAAAACATAAGAGGGGTTTCTTATGATGCTTAATTTAAAAAAACAAAACATAAGAGGGGTTTCTTATGATGCTTAAGAATATAAATAAAACAGTATTTATTTCTGTTTTAATTAATTTTATGCTTGTAGCACTAGTTGATTCGCTGTTAATCAATCATAGCTATAGAAGACAATCATGCATGATCTTGGTAATTCATGCTTATCAACCGCATGCATTCATGCTTATCATCAGAAAGATTGTATAGCATTTAAGCCAAAGCACTAGTTGATTTGCTGTTAATTAATCATAGCTATGGAAGACAATCATGCTTGCTGTCCTTGCATCCAATGACGATCTTCGCCAATAATTTGAGTTTAGTGTCTTAAGGGAAAATTAACAATTACCAGAATGATGCAAGTTCAAGCATCGAAACTCTTTAACAGTCTAGCTAGCTAGCAGCTCATAAATTAGGCTCCCTAGCTTTGTCTCTACTAGAATATAGATGATGGCGTGTTCTAGTTCTGATCTCTTGTCATGCACAAGGTCTCGTTGTTTGATGAGATTTGATTTCCCTCTAAGAAAAAGAAAAGAATTTCAGAGCAGTTTGAGACAGCAGGAAACAGCCTCCTGCCCCCAAAGACACATTACCATAGCAAAATGATGCCTAACAAAACAAAAAAAGTACTTTATATCTTTGCACTACCAAACTACTAATAAAATAGAAGTCCCATCTTCTATTTAATTAATAAAGGATCGGTGCATGTATCTTCTAGGCGAACATCATGAATAGGATTTTTCTTGTTTGAGAAGAAAAAAAAAGGCTAAAGAACAGCACTCTCATAGGGGATGCTTGTGAGGTTTCTCCGGCATGCAGGCCATGCTGTCTGTAAAGGATGATGTCTGGGAGTGAGTTTTAATATGTTTTTTTATTAAAATTTAATTAATTTTTTTAATGTTTTTGAATTGTTTTAATGTAATAATATAAAAAATAAAAAAATATTGTTTTAATAATCTTCCAAAAAACACAACCACTATAAAACTAATAAACACCCTCGTAATCTTTTCACATAAAAACATCATTGGTCCAATCCCCTCTTGTGTCTTTTGTCCCATCCAAATTGTTGTCTATCTTCCATGAGAAGTCATTTGATCTTTACAAGCAAAGGATCTTTAAAACTTTCTTTTCTACCTTTCTGAATGAGAATCCACTTAAAAATTTCTGAGTTAGGCGCAGCATCTTCACTCAATACCTAGCCATTCCACAACGACTCTTGTAGCATGGTTCCATCTCCAAGTACAAGGGATATATTCGAGTGGCTGCGTCTCTGAGAGTATCAATCTTTTCCCATAGTTTTTTAATTAGTACGTTTGTCTCTTCAGCTAACATTAGAAAACCTACCTAAGCAATAGGTTTATGAAGCGCTTTCAGATAAAGTCATCATCTCCAAAATCTCACAAAGATGCCTACCAAATCTCTCTCTCCTTTTTTTTTTTCTGGTTTAAACCATTAAGTATCCAACTTTAGGGTTTAGCTTATGCTTTATAGTGAGAGTGTGCATGATTCTGATTCCCTCCTCCCCCTCCCAGAAAACAAAAGAATGCAATGAGTACTAAACTAGAAGTGCATTTTTCACTCAAGATCTATATTAACGTGACATACAAAGACAATATCCTGTTAAGATCAGACACATGAATCAACGAGAAGACATGATGACTATGCATGTCAACGTAATATTAAGCATTTTCCTTCTTTCTGCGGTTGGTAATTCTAATTCCTCTTCAAGAAAACAAAATCAATAAAAGCTGATGACAAGCATTACTGTGTTTCCTTTTTCTTACAGACGTTCCAAAGTGGGTGTTTGTGTCTTCCTGAATATTTTGGCTTTGATGCCCATGCATTGGTGAAAAAACTATAATAAATAAACCTGTAAAAGCTATCTTAATTACTTAAATCTTCGTAGCTTCTCTCTAAACACACAAAGAAGCAGATACAGTCCAGCTTAAGGCCGGCAAAGAAACGGATAAACTGGAAAAGATGGCTTCGAAGTTCATAAACAACAATTTAGGGAGATCGAAGAAACATTAAACCTGGGCTCAGAAGATAAAAAGCAACAAGGAAATCAATAAGAAGACAAAATGAGCATTAAATTATTTATATAAATATATTAAGATTTGAACAAAGAACAAAATCTCCAATTATTCATTTCTAGTTCAATGGATACTCATAGGAAGAAACATAAGCACGAATATGTGGCGATTTATGGTAATATAGAAGAGAGGAAAATCCAATTTATGATTGACAAAAAAAAGTTGGGGATCCTTTTAACATTTTAATTCCCTTCTTTTTGATAACTACAAAAATTAAGACTGATGAGCCCTAAGATTTTGGGTGCAGGAAAAGTTGCGTACCGGACATGGAAGCAGTAAGGGGAAATGGATATGAAGGGTGGGCAAGAGATTCTGCAGCACCTGAAGTTGAAGCTAGAGCGCCAGGAGTTAGGGCACCTGCACTTGGGAGATTAGGCTCTTGAAGTTGTCTGGAAGAGCTTTCACCAAAGTAATAACGACTTTCATGAGGACCTTGATCGTAGAGAATTCCCTTGAAAACACGGCCTCCTATATTAACACTCGTTTGATATGCAAATTGATCAACTGATTCATCAATGGAGCTCACTCTAAAGCAACGAAATGTGACTGTTGTGTTCACTTCAGCAGGAAAATTCTCGATTTCTAAACCTAAAAAAGACCCAATATACACCATTAAAACTCTTAAAAATAAGCAAATCGTTAAAACAAAGATAAACTTCTTGATGAAAGATAAGGAGAATCATGTATATGGATATGCAATATGCTCTTTGTCATAGCTACACCCTTGACAGTAGAATAGAATAAAGAGGAGTGCTACATAGCTATGTATATGGATTATTATGGTCATCACATACATATCTAGCAAGTGATATGGTTTTCTTGAGTTTTTTCTTGACAATATCTAAATAGTACAGAATAGATCTAAAGGAACTGTAACAGTACCTGTTGAGGGATTTTCTCTTGGCCTTTTAGGGTTGTGTCCTTGAAGCTGCTGTTGTTGACAAGGCAAAAGATTTTGAGCCCTCTGTCGCCGTTTACAAGCGGGAACCCAAGTGCTCTTAACATGTGTTTGACACTGAAATCCTTTACTGTTACAGCATGTTCTGCATCTCATGTAAACACAGTCTTTCTTAGCTTGGTTTCCACATTCTTGACACCTTGAGCCCCCCAAATTACTTCCTTGTCTCATCATCATCATCACCACTACTCATCACAAAAGAAAAGCCCCACCATTCCTCACTGTTGAATTCCCTTCTTTTCAGCTCCTACTTATCCTTGTTCAACCTTTCTACAGTACCAGACTGATTCAACAGGGGTTTTCTTTGGGAAGGTGATCTTGTTTTGATGGTGGTAATGGATGCGTTGTTTGTAGTTTTGGGTTGGTGGGGTCAAATCATTTGGCTTCTTATTTTTTTGTTCATGACCACGCTTACTTCGTGAGAACTGTAGGATTCTTCAGCTTTTGCAGATACTACTCGAACTAGTAATGCTTAAGAATCATTGTTTTGGTAAATTAAGTGCTCATAAATGAAAGAGTTACCGCATAGGAAGAATGGTAGCCGCCATAAAACCATCGATCATCAGTGCTTCAAGTATTCAAAACCCATTCATTCTCCCAGCGGCCGTTACCCAGTGAGCTATAGCACTAGTAAAAAAGCAAATAAAGAATAGGCATAGTACCGCTACTGATTAATAAATAAAGAAACATGTAACCAAATAATAATAATTTAAAGAGACAGATGAAGAAAAGAAGGGACTTGTCTCTCCATTTTATCAATTGAGTTAACTATACCTGATTTGATTGGAGTACTGGGCTGGCTAATGCATGCTTTGAATACAAATTAGTACTGCCAGATTGTGGGGTATTTGTTTGAAGGGCTAGGAGAAAATGTTTTTTACCCTCCATCGCCTTCACATGACTTGATCAGTTTGGCTCTTTGTGGCCATGATAGGGATGGTTTTTGTAATGGATGAGCTTGTTTGGCACTTGGCTACAGACATGTATATCATAATGCAAAAAAAAGTAAGGATTTGATGATTCAATATTTGAGCATCCCCAACAACATCTATGATGTTTAAAAAAGTGTGACTCCATACTGACAGCGCTATCACTCACTCGTCCTCGCATTTAAAAGGGACCGCGCTGCCGTGACAAAGCCAAACACACGCACACACCAGGTTAAACCGCGACGGTCTTTCCTCCTCCTCCTCTTGTGTACTTTCTGTACGGATTTTGTTTAATTATTGCCAGTCAAGAGGCTCCCTTTATGGTATTTACCATAAGCTAATCACTTCAGAACCTCATGCGTCAAACACATCATCGCCCAGTCAGAGGATGGCTGCCTTATCAATTATGTCAACAGAGAAGAAAAACGACCTCTGTTAAGCTTGCAAGAAGCCAAGAACATTTATGATCACAATCTTGGGTTATCGTGATGGGTCCTCGCTAGCAAAGGTTGTGTTTAATGGCAGCGGATATCCTCATGGTTTCATGCGGGATTTGTCAATTTAAACCATATGATTTGAAAAAACATCAACTGATTTCTAGAATGTGTCACGTTTATTTCTCTATGTATCTCCTTGAATCGAAATGAATTTTCATCACCTGGAGAATACATGTTGAGAATGTTCTTAGAGTCAACATTTTGTGTTGACTCTTGGACGGTCGGACACGTGTCAAAAACTCATTCATCATATATAATTCTTTTCCCTGCAATATCAAACCCAATTAAGTTTTTCAAAAAGTTTCATGTCCGTATAAAGCTTCGATAAATCTCTAGAATTTATTTTTATTGGAGTTTGGTCCTTATTTCACAGTACCATTTCTCTCGCTAATTTCATCAAAATCAAAATTTATTATTATACATAATAAAAGATACGGGAAAATCACTGTTTTCCCATATTTAAATTTACTATAGATTAAAATAGTAATTTACATTGCATTCTTCTCTTATTTTTTTACACTTTTTTTTTCCCAACTTCCCTTTTCTTTCGTTTATTTTTTCTCTTTTTTTTTCCAACTTCCCTTTTCTTTCGTTTATTTTTTTTTAAATTACTTTCTTGTTTTTTTCATTTTTCCTCCTTTTTTTTGTTCATTTATTTTTTAAAAAAATTATTTTTTTTAATTTTATTTTTTAAATATTAAACTAATTAAAAATCTTATTTTATAATTTTATAATTTATTGTTTTTCCATATAGTTTTTCTTATAAGGAAATTATTGTTTTCCGTAACAAAATACACGGTGGATTACATCAGTAATCCACAATGCATTCCATTTTTTTTCTTTCACTTTTCTTCTTTTTTTGGTATACTTTTCTTTCACTTTTCTTCTTTTTTTGGTATTTTTTTTTTAACTTTTTCTTCTTTTTTTTTTCTTGTTTTTCAACTTTCCTCTTTTAATTTTTTCTTATTTTCTTTTTTATTATTTTTTCTTGTTTTTCAACTTTCCTCTTTTTTCCTTTTTTGTTCATTAATTTTTTTTTAAAAAATATCTTTATTAATTTTAATTCATTAATTTTTTTAAAAAAATTATTTTTATTAATTTATCAAAACAATTTAAAAATATATCTAAAAAAATAATTTTAAATATTTCTTTTTCAAAATTTACCCCTAAAACGAGGTAGTACCTGCCTGACTTTTTTTTTTTTCTTGATTATATTTGTTCATTTTATTTTTTATATTGAGCTAATTGAGAATTTAGTTTTGTAATTTTTTTTAAAATATTGTTGATTGCTACAGTGTTTCTCCATATGATTTTTTTATTTTGTTTTTTATGATTTTCTTTGAAATTATATTTTTTATTTTATTTTTTAATATTGAAATGGTTAAAAATTATAATTACAATATGTGAGGAAAGCATTGTAACTTTCCTCACAAATTACTGTGAATTACTACAATATTTTTTCCCACATGATTTTTTCATGTTTTGTTATGTTTTTCTTTAAAATTATCTTTGTTAATTTTATTTTTTAAATATTAAGCTGGTTAAGAATTGCAATTA